TAATATGGCGTTTGCTTCAAATTTGGTTGCGTTGTGCATACTCAAAGCATGCATTTCGCCACATTTTTAAACCCTTTTAAATGGTGGAAATGATCATTTTTCCACCAAACACGCTTCGTTTTTCGCATGGAAGAGCGCGCTCGTTTCGTTGCACATATTCCCGAGGAAAAAACACTTAGTGATTGCCTGTCACCATATCGAGAGACTCTTCCAACAAAAGATCCAAAGGATTCTTTCGGATCACTGTCTCGCTTTTTGCAGTCAGTGTTCTGAGAGGAAACACGATGTAAAATTATTCAAAATGGACGTCAGATCAGACAATCTTTCAGTATCGGACGTACCTTTTGAGATACCTCACCGTCTAGTAATTCCTTACACGTATCCTCCAGAGCTTAAATTACGACTTTGCCGGGGTTATTGAGGAGAGAAATACAGTCCGTACGACATCTCAAAGAGTTAATAATCTTACTTTTTCGTTAAGTCGAAAAATTTCACTTCTTGCACGGGTATGTCACACGGACGAGTTGAAATACCCGTTTTAAACGCGTCATTATATAAATAAGCATGAATCAAAATCCTCGGGGGGCAATAAATTTACTTGCCACTTGCAATTCTTTGTTCACTAAACCGAATTTGTCTTAGGATACACGAGCAGATCGCTAGTACTAACTGGAAATCTACAGACAGACATAGGAGGCCACGAAATACCATCGCCCATTCCTGTCTCAGAATTGATAAGGCAATGGGGTTTCCGTACATATTGTGACAACAAGCTTCGACTGTACCAGTTCGCATCAATCACAAAGTTTAAGTAAACGCTCCGACTAAAAGTGGAGCGAGAGCTTTTAGCTAACAATGTGCCTAGTTTGATCTACTGTTCTTAAAATACAGATACTTAGTATTCATAGAATAATAGAACATTTTTTGCATTACACTATCGATTATAATCAAATATCCCCTTGACAAAGCTTCATCATTGATATCGCTACTGATATCTTGTTATTTGTAAGAGTACACCGGAAATTTCGTACATATGTACAGTATGGTATTTTATTCACCAGTAAATTAAAGTGCCAGTGCTAGAACATCCTATACCTTGGTGTAACCGACCAAGTATCATATTACACTTCTGGTAATTGTGAAAAAGGTAATAGGTACCACTGAAGATAATGTAATCCTTAGAAGATAGAGCCTCAAGGAAACCAGCTATCAAAAACACATCAAGCACTACAAGGAGATTTTCTATTGAAAAGAAGTATCTAGCGCGAGCTAAAAAGGCATGCGTTGTTCTTATCAAAGAAGACTGAAAAAGTAATCGGCGATTGTGGAGGTATTATACTTTTTCCGATATGGGCATTCTGGATGCCTCCGCGTATCGTTTACCATTTCAAGCAGCCGTGCATCGAACTTAAGTATACGATGCTTCCGAATCTACCGGGTCTTTTCATCTTTTAATAATCCCCAGTACGTTAAAGTGCAAACAACAATCCAAAGCTGTATGCCTTACCACTCTTAGAGGAATCCGATTTGTTTTTTTAAGGCTGTTTTGTAATGTCTTTGCTCTCCATAAAGTACAATGAAAAACAAATCATTTAAAGAAGTTGGCTGACAAGCTATTGTTGTTACCTCGCGATGTTTTCGTAGGTCAATCCTGCGTGGGAGCCCGGCCCGTTACACTACGCCTCCTAGAAAGAAGAAAATTAATGTGCAAACGTGTGATATTGCCACTCTTTCCATTTCAGTATATGGCTTAGGTCCTTTGCCTTTTGCGCACTTAAACAAGCCCCTTCACCATTTCTAAAACGGCCCTTGCTGAACGAAAGTGTACATCACTTTCAAATTGACAGCCAAAAGATTTAAGTATTAGCCGCATCTGTTTGGAAATCTCATGAGTAGGTAGCCTAAAGGATGGACTGCTGCTATCGCTGAGTAAAGATTTGTAAAGATTCGGACATATTCTACTGTCTTTTGCCTCATGCGACATGTGAACATGGCTTGAAATGTACCCGGTGCAGCCTCGCTATGATGAGAGTATTTCCATTGCAGATAATCAGCAAATCTAGAGAGCGGCACTCAAAATTAAGGATTGCAACCGCGACACACTGTTGCTCTGTCAGGAGCCAGATCGAACTCTAAGCCACCTCAACTTCTATTATCTATTAAAACGATATTTAGCTTTTATGGGTGGGCAATCGAAATCAGCGGTGTCACAGCGGGCCTGGTTGCGCTCTAATCGACGACAGATTGCGATTTTTCTGTTAGGATATATTTCTAATTTGTTGGCCACTAACTGTGTTATTTACCTCATCAAAAAACCGATAAACATAAAGTAGCAAAGCGAGCCAAAATACCCTGGGGACAAACAAATCGGGTATCGACCTCTGGGGAGGTAAAGTTTAAAAAGACTCAACTATCGAAATGACGACAAATAATTCCAATTGCGACGGAATTACCACGCCCTTGCCTTGTCTTCAAATAAACACGTTTATCAACCCACACAACATGGGGTTGTACGCTGTACTCAGGAGAGGTATTATTAGCCTCATACCGATGCTTCTGTTCTAAGATATCTATTTTTTTAGCGTAATTCCATTACATACGATCAACTGTGTTCAAAAATAAATGTATCAGTTTTTTTTAAAAAAGGTACTCACGAGTCTTAATGACTCGTCCTCGACGGGTTTTCATGGTGCTAAGTGTACCATCACTGAGATTTATACATGTATAAAGGTGCAATGTTTGGGTTTTACATCTGCTTTAAGCCGTGTTCTGCAAAATATCGAAGTGTGTATTGTGTGCTTACATAGTAACACAATACTATCATATTACGGTATATCAGAAAAAAATGTTTAAATAATGCTCTTTCAATCGTCTTCAAGAGCTTGTTTTGCTCATACTTTCAGCGAAAGGCCCAATCCTAAAGCTCTGTCCCTCCGTGACATGTAACTTCCAATGGCTAAATAAAAAATGGCGGTTAGCATTTGAGTCTAGACGAGGCGTTGCATCTTTAGCGCATGCCGCCGAGAAATTTTGGCTTGTCGAACTAGATCCAATGTCATCGTCTGTTTGGCGGAGCGTGGAGAAGGCCTCACTTGGTGAGGACCCTACTATGCCTCTCGGTGAAGGCTAAGGTGCGGGCTGGAGCTCAGATCTCATTTTGTCTGCTCGCACCGAAGCACAAGTCGGCAGCTTCATCTAGAATACTGTTAAGAAAGGCCTTCGAAAGAGCTGCGCCTTTCTTATTCGATGGGCCATGTGGGTACATGTGAAAGTGAGTGCGAGTCATGTTCGAAAGTGCGAGTCATGTTCGAAAGTGCGAGCACTATAATGCGCAACTGAATGAAAAAGAATTCGTACGAATAGGGTGCTAGAAGAAGGTCGATTTTTGTATAACACCTAACTTGGTAGGGACGAGTGTAACGGGTAAGAAAAGTATCATGGTTATGTTCACGAAATACTTTTGACCTTTGGATTTAGAGCAGAGCTCAGAGGTACAGAAAAGTTTAAAGGCAGTCAGTGGAGATTAGAGTTAGCGTAAGGTGATTTAAAAATGATCCTCCATGTCTTTCCTGCAAAGTCGAGGATATTTGCCGTATTAAATTAAAAGTTATCGTACCCGACAACGACTTCCTCGAAATGACAATCGCGACTAAGTTGTGGTCAGAAATAGCTGAATAGAGCCATTGCTAGGGGTTTTCGGTACATATCGCATATTGAAAGCCTAGACTCCGCAAGTTCGCGTTAATCAACGGATAGCAATTAGTTTCACGATTAGAGCAGTTGGATATAGGCTATTGCAGGGCCTTCAAGAAAGGCGGACTTCCCTTACGCAACCAGTAAATTCTTCGAAGATATCATCATACCGTTCCACCTTATTTGTCTTGAACACTCATTAACCCCTGGTCGTCTGTGATCACCTTATTGTTGAAGTGACATTATTTTGCTCACGACACATTGTGGGCATATGCGTACGCACATGGACGACTGTTGAGCCTCCTTTAATGCTTATTGTCTTATGACTTGCCGAAGACCCCCAGCAAATTGCTGGTGATTATTGTTGTTCTAGTTGACCGATTTTTTCATTCCTTACCAACGGTAGAATGTGATCGTTTCTTGCTCGCTTTCTAAAAATTATTTTGATTGCTGAATATCACCTGGTAGCATACCAGGGCTCCCCGCTCGCTGATGTTTATATATTGCGGCTTACTTAGGTGCCGCCTTTACTCAAGATCAGCCATAAGAATTTACGTTCACTTTGCACAAAGTGTTTTCGTTAAAAACGCACAGTTAGGGTTGATGCTGTTTGGACTAATGTTTATAATGAAGATTTTCCTGTTGCTCAAAGGCAAACTATCTTAATTTTACTGGCGTGTAGCTAGCAGCCAACTCCTACATCAGACCCCTCCTTCGATTTATCCAAGCATCGATAATACGGTACCTAAATTTTTCACCCAGCAACCAAAATAAAATGTAACTTCGTATGTGATAACTGTGTATCAACTATTTAAGAAAAAAAACACCAGCGAGCAATACTTACCTGATACGCCCTTTCTTACTAAGATATGAACCACACAGAACCCACTCTTGTTTTGTCACTTTAAGACACTGCGCAAAAGTGACCATTTCACGAAAAACCATGACGCTTGTTGTTTACCCTGACACTCTGCACTACTTATCCGCGCCTTCTTCTCAAAAACGTTTTATGCCGGAAGTTCCCTTCCGTGCGGCAAATCATAGATTGACAATTCCAATGCATATAGTGTGACGGGTCACACGGCACCTTGCACAGAGGAAGCTTGACTTCCAAGAGTATAC